GGATGAATAAAAAATATTTCCTATCACAATGGATGATAGGCTGAATATACCATCTCCGTCCCATTTATAAAATTAGTATCTCTCAAGCATTAACAATTAACTTTGCATTAACCTTTACGGTAATGGTGATATAAGCTAAAAATTTTCGTTTTAAGAATCTATTTATATAATTCTGAACTATGAGTGAGTGGTCTAATCGGCTGAAATTAAATTCAACTCGGTTTTGTAATTGTGGCAGTCTACTTAGCGACCAATCTGAGTGAAGCGGGATTATCATTTCCACCATCATTGTAATCAACGGCGGTTGACTTCCCTCTTTCTGTGTTGTTTCCTCTGTTTCTTTTGCGTAGCTGTATAATTTAATGTTTTAGTGTGCCGAAATTCCGCAGTTAGTATAATACTCTAAGTGTTGGGGCAAATTTTAATTGAATCAGTTTTATTTTCTCAATTTTTGCCGCTGCTACTCAAGTCAATGTATTTCTTTAGACAAGTTCGCTTTTTCTATGTCGTAAAATGTCAGTCCGTTTTGCTTTATGTATTATTTTTTAGATATCGAAAATCATAGTTGGTTTTTTTAATAGCTAAAATAAGTGTTACTGCCGCCTGGGACTCTAACTGTCCGCATGTTTGTTCCTAACAGTCATTTATGATGTTATCGGGAGCAATGAAAGAAAACGATCTCCGGTTTGTTATTTTCTTCAGTATTATGGATAACCCTATTCCATCAACGAGTCAAACTAATACTGAGTGTCCAGTAGTAAGGGATATCAGAGATGTTTTCGAAAGGACCCAGGTACTTGACAGCCATGGACCAAGTCAGAGATGCTGTTGATCTATTGCGGAGGGTTTGTTATTAATAATATACCATATAGCAGTAATAGATGGGTTGGACTCATTACGTCGTACGTGGAAGCAAGCTTAACACAGAAAAACCGGAAATCCACTACCAGTATGTAGTATATGTTTGTTGTTTTGGCCATAAAAGGAAGCCGGAGGGCCATTTTCAGGGAGTAAAAGAGTAATTAACTATTATTATACTCGCCTTTTATAGATCAAACTTTACCAGTTGCAAAGTTATGTTTCTTGTGCGGTATGATGTCAATCGGTACATGTCGCTTACTCATAAAAAGATAGTTTGTAGTACGACAAACCTTTCTTCAGTAACATTATTCATTGACAGTCCACTTGAAAAAACAAACAACGATGTGATTAAACTTACTATGACTTTGGATTTCATTCTAGCATGCAATGCATGTCCGGCGTAACACAGTCTGACGTGGCAAATAATAATAAAAAAATACAAGCAGAGCAAAATTCACAGTATAATCTAGTTTTTAATAAACAATACATCATAATATGACAGATTAAATGACTACAAGAACGTAAATATGACCATTATTCCGGCTTGCGATACATTAAGTTGACGTGACAACATTGAGTTTAAAATCACACGTTTAATCATTTCAAGTCCAATTACCATTTATCTCTGTATTACTCCATAGCACTGTTACTTTTCATATAATAAATTGAATTCATAATTTAGTACACAGATGATTTATTGATTCTTTTACATATAAATACGATTAGGAATATGATAGTCTACTTTAATGATATGCAAATAATTAATACATCTGAATACAAATGTGTTGTGACTTTATGTTCGGCTAGTTATCACGTGATCTATCCACCAATGGAAATACGATTTACACAATCTTAGCACTATGCCAAACCAATGACTTTCGAACGGTATGAGCAGTCTAGCGTCCTTATTGGTCCTATGTCCGCCTAGACCGTTCACTTGAGTCCAGAACACAATATGAATCATTTATTTCAAACATACTTGGTTTATATATCAACCAGACAGACCTCAACGCACCATAAAATAGGAAATAACATTTATACACAATAAAGCCAAAAAGTGAATGTGAACGTGGGGGGCAGTAGTCAATAAACTGAACATAGCTTAAGAACCGTAAATCGTGTAATAATAAATTATAGATCAAAATGAAGCTTATAATAAGAGGGATATAAATATACATAATCTAATTATTTGAATAACTATACGATAAGAATATTTATAGAATATTTGTCCATTAATAGTTCTCGGAAGTTACCCGTAATTTAATCTTCACTGGGATATAACAATATGTTAATAACTATTCTGAGGGTAGTTTTCTACCTGAATTGAAACTATTTAACAAACTATTGGTAATTAAAAAGCATTGGTAAACTAACATTGTTCATTCAAAGAATTGTCACAACTTTATACAGGATAGAATCGAATACTTTCAGGATTGACTAATAGTACAATAAATGTAAACTAGTAGATTTACAAGAATTCAGTAATTTAAAATTTTCAAACGACACCAATTTCTTTTTTTTTCGTAAAACATTTCAGTTCATATTTACAGTGAAAAATCTAACTGAAATATATGTCACGAATTGATTAAAGTTGAAAATTTGTATCATTGGAAGAAAACTCAGTAATTCTAGTGGTCAAGATCTTGTTCCAAATGTCCTGGGATCAACCCTTGACAAGGTCATGGCAATGCACCAAAGAGAAGTTTCATAATGCGATGAAGCAGGTGTCGAATGGTTACTTAGCTTAAATCAATCAAGGATAAATACCCATGAAAGATTTAAGTCAATTCCTAATTTGTTTTTCATGCAGGGTTTATTACATGATTCAACTGTTTTGTGAAAAAGAACTAACTGTATATTTTCAACTTAAAAAAATTGCTCAAATTGTAGTTTCATATCATATGCTGTTTTATGAGGACCTTTCTTTTAAAAGATTGGAATGCTTACTTGATATGCTGAGGGTAAAAGAGCTTTTGAAAAATATTTATTTTTGTTATTGGTAAGTATCTTGGAAATAGAAATTAAATACTTCTATATTTCTTTTAACTGTAGGGTTTAACATTGTTTAGAAACATAATCAGCTAAGGTTATCCTCAACGTTTTCAATCTTCATAAATTGTGCCCTACCAAGCATTTTCTGCTTAATTAGTGAGTGAGTATTGCATATTAGGATGTAATTTTTGATGAAACATTTAGTTCTAAACATTGAAAACGTTGTGGATAACACCAACCACAACTGCCTACTATAATCATTTTCAGTCTGGCTCACCGCATTATGGTTGATGACAAACACAAATATGGTAAATGTTATAGTCTGAACTGAAATCTTTAATAACAATTACATTGTAATATTGAGTGCTGCTTCCCTGAATGAATAAAGATTGACCGATAATATTTAGTACGATGCATTTACTTAAACACGGATATTCTCAACCAAATAATAAATGATAAATATTAAAATGAAAACAGTTTACATTACTGCATATGAATTCATGAGCCAATTAAAGCTAGACTACCATGGAAACACTGGACGGCCGTTTCGTTCTAGTATGGGACTCCTCAGCAGTGTGCATCCACGAACCGGCCCCCCGCGGGATTCGAACCCAGGACCTGCTGGCTTCGCGCACGAGCACTTAACCATTAGACCACTGAGCCGGCACCCAACGATGTTGATGTCTAACTTCAACCAATCCATGAAGTTGCGCCACTGAACACCATTGTCTTCAGTGAGCTGATATCTCACAACAGACCTGGTCGAACTCCACTGGTGACGGCTTCTCACTAGAACTCCAGGAGGTTCTTCTGAAGTCAGTCACTAGTGATGTTATGAACGGGGAATTAAGAAGCCCAGACAATCACGAAAGCTATTTTCTTGGGACGTTATTGCATTTCATTCAAACCCTGTAAAACACTTATATTTATTTTTGTCCCTATCTTATTCTACATAACACGAGCTTTCGTTCTATGTATCATTCACTAGCATACTCTTTTTGGTTCCGAAAATATTGTAATTTAAAGATAATATTTTGCACTGTATTTTCTACTCTAATTCCCTGTTTCGGGCATAACTGTATTTTTCCAAATTATTGTACGTCGTAGTCAAGATATTCACTTATTTATTCATGTACATTTTTGTATTAATCCGAATTCAGAGAATCCAGAGTTCAGTGTTCCACCTGTCTTGTCTTCTCTCGCTTGCGTGCTTGCCAACCAATCAGGTTCTAGAATAGTTATCTCTCTACCCCATCCCGAACTCACGCGTGATAGATTTCAAGGTTAAGCCGCTCACCCTATCGCGTCAAGGTCATAGTTTAGCCTACACAGATCAAGGTCGAGTCATAACAAGTATCAACGGGGTAAAAGCGATTCAAGGTCATAACAACTGGCGACGGGAATTTCTTATTATTTTATATATTGATTGATCCAGTACAAAATGCCTGTATCATTGGATGACCTTAAAACTATTCTTCAAATGCAGCAAGCACAAAATGATGCGAATCAAACGAAGCTTTTGGATGCATTGGCACGAATGTTCTCATTACAGTCATCCTCAACTTGTCAATCAGACAAGTATGAAAGCATCATAAATTCGATTTCTGAATTCCATTATAATCCTGAAGCAAATGTCATTTTCAGTTCGTGGTTTCACCGTTATGAAGACATTTTCCGCATTGAATGCTCGCATCTTGATGACGCAGCAAAAGTCCGCTTACTCTTAAGAAGACTGGGAACACAGGAATATAATAAATATGTGAATTTTATTTTACCGCAAAATCCACGAGATGTATCATTCAAAGAGACAGTCCAGATTTTATCTGATATTTTCGATGAACAGTCCTCATTATTTAATGCTCGTTATAAATGTTTCCAATTAACAAAATCTCCAGAGGACGATTATGTCACGTATGCTGGGAAGGTGAATCGAGAGTGCGAACGCTTTAAAATAAACGACATCACTGCGGACCAGTTTAAATGCTTGATTTTCATATGTGGTCTAAAGAATGAAGAAGATGCAGATGTCCGTACCAGAATGTTGGCACGTATTGAACAAGAACCAAATATGACATTACAAATGGTCACAACCGAATGTCAGCGATTACTTAATCTCAAGCATGACACGGCTATGGTGCAACAGAAGGTTAAACCGTCCGAGTCTGGTTCAATTAATGCACTCCGATCCATAAAATCATCGAAACAAAACTGTACAAGCACGAAACAACCTTCTGCAAAACCCCCATCACCATGCTGGTTCTGCGGAGCATGGCATTTTGCGAAATTCTGTCCGTTCAAGAATCATAAATGCCGCAAATGCCATCGCATTGGCCACAAAGACGGTCATTGTTCGTCAAATAAACGCAAGACTAAACATCGTAGTGAAAATTCAAATCAACGATCAAACAGTCAAATTAAAACCACGTTTGCAACCTTTAAAGTTGGATTTAAAAGCAGGCGGAAATTTGTAAATTTATTAGTAAATGAAAAATTTATACGGCTTCAGTTGGACACTGCTTCTGATGTCACGTTGATTTCAAAGAACACATGGCACAAGTTAGGATGCCCACGCATCCGACCGACGAATCATCCTCTCTGGATATTAATGAATTAAATGCTCCTGATGAAACATATTCTTATGATCTTTCTGAATCAAACAATTCAAATGTTATGTGTTCTCACCATGTCAAATCTAATACCGCCGATTTATTACCTTCTCATAAAATTTCCAAATCGAAGACTTCAGACAAAGTATGCGCTGGTGAAACTTCGGAGTCTCATGTACTTCGTTCTAATGTTATGTCTACATCAAAGTCTTCTGTTTCCTCTCAATTGTCGTCCGTATCTTACATAAATCATCTTCGACAAAAGCATGCATGTGTATTTCAAAACAAACTGGGTTGTTGTAAATTCACCAAAGTATCTTTATCACTAAAGGAAAATGCAAAACCCATTTTCAGACCGAAACGACCAGTGCCTTATGCTGCTCTGTCAGTCGTTGACCAAGAATTGGACAGGTTAGAAGCACTAGGTGTCATTGAGCCAGTAAATTATTCATCGTGGGCTGCTCCCATAGTGGTCGTGAGAAAAGCAAACGGAACTGTTCGCATTTGTGCTGATTTTTCCACTGGTCTGAATAATGCTCTAGAAGATCACACATATCCACTTCCCATACAGGAAGATTTATTCATCAAACTAAAAGAAGAAAAGTGTACATTCTTCATGAACTCGGTGAAATATCTTGGTTTTGTTTTCGACAAAAATGGACGACGCCCAGATCCGGAAAATGTACGAGCTATCCAAAATATGCCTCCTCCATCTAATGTAGCAACTCTGCGTTCCTTCCTTGGTCTTATCAGTTATTACAGTAATTTCTTGCCACAACTGCATCGCCTCCGAGCACCTATGAATCAATTATTATCCAGTAATGTAAAATGGAATTGGTCCACTAAGTGTCAAAAATGTTTTGATGAAGTAAAGTCATTATTAACGTCGGATCTACTTCTTACATATTTTGATCCCTCGCTGGAAATTGTTGTTGCTGCAGATGCTTCTGACTATGGTATCGGTGCCGTCATATCCCATAAGTTTCCAGATGGCAAAGAGAAGGCTATCGCACATGCTTCCAGAACATTGACTTCAGCAGAACGCAAGTACAGTCAAATTGAGAAAGAAGGATTGGCATTAATTTTCGCAGTAAAAAAGTTTCACAAGATGCTGCATGGCAGAAAATTTACCTTAATCACTGATCATAAACCCCTATTATCAATTTTCGGATCTAAGAAAGGTATACCAGTTTATACCGCAAACCGCCTCCAACGATGGGCTACAATGCTATTGGGTTATGATTTCGTTATCAAATACAAATCTACCTCTGATTTTGGCCATGCTGATGCATTATCGCGCTTAATAAGCAATCATAAGCTTGAAAACGAAGATACTGTTATCGCTTCTATATCAGTGGAAGAAGATGTAAGCAGAATGTTGTTTAATTCAACACAAATTCTTCCAGTGACAGCTGCTCGAATCGCTGAACACACTCGCCGCGATCCTATCTTAAGACGATTATCTACATTTATCCAGCGTGGTTGGCCCCCACGTATAACATCTCATGAACTGAAACAGTATTATCAACGACGTCAATCTTTATCCATCGTAAATGACTGTATTATGGTTGCTGATCGCGTAGTGGTTCCGTATAACTTACGCTCACTCGTCCTGAAACAACTGCATACAGCCCATCCAGGTACTGGAAGAATGAAAGCTATTGCTCGAAGTTATGTATATTGGCCTAATATCGATGAACACATCGAAGATTTCGTGCGTGCGTGCAGAAAATGTGCTGAGGTTTCTAAGTGTCCACGAAAAGCTGAACTACATTCCTGGCCATCTCCAGAAGAACCTTGGTCACGTATACATGTTGATTTTGCTGGCCCATTCCAGGGTACGTACTTCCTCGTTTGTGTTGATGCTTATTCAAAATGGCCGGAGATTTTTCCTATAAATCAAATCACTTCGCAACAGACTATCAGGAAGCTACGGCAGTTATTCTCCCGTTTTGGAGTTCCAGATGTTCTCGTGACAGATAACGGCACTCAGTTTATTTCTGTCATCTTCTCAGATTTCTGCAAGAGGTTTGGAGTCAAACATGTCCGTTCACCTCCGTACCATCCACAATCGAATGGTCAGGCCGAAAGGTTTGTAGATACCTTCAAAAGAGCGCTACTGAAGGCAAAAGGGGAGGGAAAGATAGAGGAGATTCTTGATGACTTTCTCTTGGTCTATAGAACAACTTCAAACCCATCAACACCAAATCAAATGTCCCCAGCAGAAATAATGTTTGGTCGAAAAGTAAGAACTGCTCTCGATGCCATAAAACCACAGAAAATAGACATCGGAAAAAGAAACAGAAAGATGGAAAGCCAGTTTGATCGCCATCATGGGGCGAAACGTAGAATTTTCCAAAAAAATCAAAAAGTATACGTCCGTGATTTCCGATATTCACCTCCACAATGGACCAGTGGACGCATACTTAAGAGACAAGGGAACGTAATGTATGTGGTGGAAGTTGAAGGACAGAAGTGGACACGCCATGTCAACCACATACTGGAAAATGCTGGCACTTCACAGAAAACCGAGAAATTAGACTCAATGTGGAGAATCATTCTGGACAGTTTCGACATAAAATGCTCAGCAACTCAGAAGACTGCGCAACATGAACAAAGTCCTATTAGAAAAGCATCACGGAAACGCAGAAGACCAGATATTCTACAGGTAGACCCAAAGAGGAGAACATACGTTTCCGAAGGAAGATATCAATGATGATATCTCAGCACTTACCTGTGTAGAGTAACTAACCATATTTTTTTTTCTTTTTTTTTTTTTAAGGGGGAAGGTGTTATGAACGGGGAATTAAGAAGCCCAGACAATCACGAAAGCTATTTTCTTGGGACGTTATTGCATTTCATTCAAACCCTGTAAAACACTTATATTTATTTTTGTCCCTATCTTATTCTACATAACACGAGCTTTCGTTCTATGTATCATTCACTAGCATACTCTTTTTGGTTCCGAAAATATTGTAATTTAAAGATAATATTTTGCACTGTATTTTCTACTCTAATTCCCTGTTTCGGGCATAACTGTATTTTTCCAAATTATTGTACGTCGTAGTCAAGATATTCACTTATTTATTCATGTACATTTTTGTATTAATCCGAATTCAGAGAATCCAGAGTTCAGTGTTCCACCTGTCTTGTCTTCTCTCGCTTGCGTGCTTGCCAACCAATCAGGTTCTAGAATAGTTATCTCTCTACCCCATCCCGAACTCACGCGTGATAGATTTCAAGGTTAAGCCGCTCACCCTATCGCGTCAAGGTCATAGTTTAGCCTACACAGATCAAGGTCGAGTCATAACAAGTATCAACGGGGTAAAAGCGATTCAAGGTCATAACAAGTGAGCAGTTGATTATTATCAAAATGAGTTTTGTGGAGATTTTAGGAAATTTCACAGGTTGAAATCATGAGTCAATTGAAGCTAGACCACCATGGAAAACCTGAAAGCACTGGATGGCCGTTTCGTCCTAGTATGAGACTCACATTTTATTTACCAGTAATTTTTCTTAAAGCTTTATAATTACATTTTTTTAGTGGCAAGGATTAAAGATCAAGTGATCTCTGTTAAACATAGTAATTTTTAGTTCTAAGAAGATTCAATTACTGGTTAAATTTATTAACGGAAGGTATTACATGTTTTATTAAAGAATTCTAGTATCTGATGTGAAAAAATGACAATTCTCAGGTCAGAAATTTTATTTTAGTTTTGAACTTTCTGATAATGTTTCGTTTGACTTGTTCCTTTCACAAATTTTAACAAAGTAAACATGATCATATTTGTAAAATACAATGAATTACTTGTATTTCATTAAATTTCTCTCCAGTTACATACTATAGAATATGGTTTGTTAGTGCATAATATGAGTATATTTTTAAAATGAAGAAATGATGGCCTTCCCACATGATTAACGCCGAGATGGAAGAATCTTTAAATCATTATGATAAATATGATTTTAATGTATATTTATGAAGTAGAAGATAAAATCGGTGACAATTATAACGAATTCATTGAGTTCGTAAATAGATAAAAGGAATCATAAAATGAATAACTCATTGATATGTTAAAAATTAAAATAATGTGAATAAAATAAAACAATATGAGTATGTACACAGATAATATTCGGAATTATTCAAGGTAATCAGAGTAAAAATTATGGTGATCTAATGGTTAGTGAACGCCGTGAAAGGAAAAACGACTAAATACAGGATTTCGAATGCTGCACAAGTTTGGTTGGAAAATTCTAATGGTTATTCTGTCAGATATATATTTAATAAACTAGGATGTACGAAATTTGAAAGGCTCACTGACACTTCGTATTTGATATTGAACGTTAAGTTCTTATTGTTTTTGTGTTCTGTATTCAAGAACGAATACTTAAAGAATCTCATCCTTGGAGTAATATTTAGATATCTACACATACGATCAGCGGAACAGATGGGTAGAGTACTTCGAGGAACTCTTGAATAGGTCGGCTCCAATGAATCCACCGGACATTGAAGCAGCACACACATATCTTCTTATAGATGTCAATCCGCCAACGACGGAAGAAATCAGAATGGCCATCGGACAAATCAAGAGCAGGAAAGAAGCACGACCCGACAACATACCAGCTGAAGCACTGAAGTCAGATATCGAAGTGACTACAAACATGCTTCACCTTCTTCATTGATTATGAAAAGGCATTTGACAGTGTGGATAGGATGATGTTATGGAAACTTATTCAACATTACGGAGTTCCTGAGAAGATTGTCAACATCATACGGAACTCATGCGATGGACTACAGTGCAAAGTAGTGCATGGATGACAGCTGGCAGATGCATTCCAAGTAAGAACCGGAGTCAGACAAGGCTGATTACTCTCTCCCTTCCTCTTTCTTCTGGTGGTCGACTGGATTATAAAGACCTAGACATCTGAAGGAAAACACGGCATACAATGGACAGCTCGGAACCAGTTAGACGATGTGGACTTCGCAGATGACCTAGCCCTCCTATCACATACAAACGAACAAATGAAGATAAAGTCAGCCAGTGTATCAGCAGTCTCTGCATCAGTAGGCCTCAACACACACAAGGGGAAAACCAAGGTCCTCAAATACAACACAGAGAACACCAATCCAATCACAATTGATGACGAAACTCTGGAACACGTAGAATCATTCACATAATTACCAACCATCATCGATGAACAAGGAGGTTCAGATGCAGACGTCAAGGTGAGGATTGGCAAAGCAACGAAAGCATTCCTACAATTGAACAACATATGCAACTCAAAACAACTGTCTGTTAACCAATATCAAAGTGAGAATCTTCAATGCGAATGTCAAGGCAGTCAGTTCTACTGTACGGAACTGAAACTTGGAGAACTACAACAACCAGCATCAAGAAGGTGCAAGTATTTATAAATAGTTGTCTACTCAGGATACTCAACATCCATTGGTCGGATACCATCAGTAAGAGCGTTCTGTGGGAGAGAACAAACCAGCTTCCAGCTGAAGAGGAGATTAGGAAAAGACGAAGGAAATGGATAGGACATACATTACACAAATCATCAAACTGCATTACGAGGCAGGGCCTAACTTGTAATGCTGAATGGAAGCGGAGAAGCGGAAGGTCAAAGAACACATTACGTCGGGAAGTAGAAGGAGATATGAGAAGGATGAATAAGAAATGGAAGGATCTGGGAAGGATTGACTGAGACAGTATTGGATGGCGAGTGCTGGTTGTGGGCCTATGCTCCTTCACGAGGAGTAACAGGCGTAAGTAAGTACATGCGATCAGTTTGATAACTTGATAATAGAAATACATAGTAATTAGGATAATGTTTTTTCTGGAATATTTTGTGAAGACTGTTCCAAAAAGTAACATTACATTTTACACTGCTATCTGGTTTTACATAATTACTGATAAGTTGAAATCAGTCCCAGTGTCGTGTGTGCTACTGCTGTTGACACGTATAAGTAGTATATATCATCAATCGAAAGTGAAATGCCTGGCGACAGAAGATTTAGAATTTTGAAATGAAGAGAATAAGAACAGAGAGTGATTGATATGGAAAGGAAGGAACAACAAAGTCTGAGATAACTAATGGAGATTTTGTAAATGAAGTATTTACTTTATGGTTCTCATATTTTTACCAAGATATTCTGCAATGTTTTATTAAAATACATCTGATTGTCCCCATCTGTGTTCTCGTTCACCATACCAGTATTAAACTCTTTAAAAGTGTTTATCAACATGTTACCAGGAATCAAATCCAATCCTATGTAATATGAAAATTTATTAGTTTCGACCCGTGTATTTTGTGCTTATGTAATCTCATAAATGTAATGAAGCCATTTCCCTAGTTTGATGTGCACTGAATGGGTCGTTAGCTATAGATAGTAAAGTAATTTACATCACAAATTGTCTTTATTTAAATAATTAATGAAGCACATGTAAAACTGAGTAGCTACTTCATTTTAACAACTGTATGAATCTATGTAAATTATAAAGATAATACCCAGCCAGTTCAATCATGGATATCGGTAAAATGTTGTTCACTGGTTAAAGTTTTGCAAATCAATATAAAATTATGAAAAAACAAACAAACACACAATTATAATAGATGCGGAATAAAACAAAAACCGTCAAGGTTATTGGATGTAAACAATAACAATGTAAAAATGTCAATTAGATTTTATAAGTAAAATTAATTCATAACAAATTTGTTATTAATATAAATTTTTTTCAGAAGGGGAGATTTTAGAAATTTCACAGATAGAAATCATGAGTCAATTGAAGCTAGACCACCATGGAAAACCTGGAAGCACTGGACGGCCGTCTCTTCCTAGTATGGGACTCCTCAGCAGTGCAAATCCCGCGAGGTGCGGGGTCGTGGATGCGCACTGCTGAGGAGTCCCATACTAGGAAGAAACAGCCGTCCAGTGCTTCCAGGTTTTCCATGATGGTCTAGCTTCAATTGACTCATGATTTCTATCTGAGAAATTTTTTTATTTATTTTCCAATTAATGGAAAGACAAAACAAAATTGTTTTTAATGATGACATTTAATTATTTTTAAAAGAAATGTAAATAGTTTCATTAAAATGGTAGTAAATTAAAATGTTTACAAAAGTTTCAACTTATATACGTAGTAATTCGATCAAAGTTTTTTTGTATGAAGTGATTTATAGTGTCAGTTACTATGCTAAGTTCATATAACTTATTTTAGCTTCTTGTTATATCCGAGCGAAGATTAAATCACGAGTAACTTCTGTGACTTATTAATTGACTAATATTATCTATACATTCTTATGCTATAACTATTCAATAATTAGATTATGTATATTTATATTCCTCTTATTATAAGCTTCATTTTGATCTATAATTTATTATTATACGATTTACTGTCCCTAAATTATCCTCAGTTTGTTGACTACTGCCTCCCATGTTCACAGTCACTTTTTGGCTTGATCTTGTACAAATGTTATTTCCTATTTTATGGTGCATTGAGGTCTGTTTGTTTGATATATAAACACAGTATGTTTGAAATAAACGATTCGATTCGCATAGTGGAAGCTGGTATTGTTGTTCTGGACTCAAATGGACGGTCTAGGCGGACATAGGACCAAATAAGGACGCTAGGCTGCTCATGCCGGTCGAACGTCATTGGTTTGGCACAGTGCTAAGATTGTGTGAATCGTATTTTGATTGGTGGATAGGTTACCTGATAAAAGCCGGACATAAATCATAACACTTCTGGATAGGCCAATTTATCCATTTTTCTTGAGTCACGTTTTGACCTTGTGAATTATTTACTTACCAACCCTGATTGTTTTCATATGAGCGTATGTGTGTGTACATTTTATCTTACCCATTACATGTGTGTAGCTTATTTTTGTGTGACTATAAATATTGATCAACGCTTGATTAAATAGAGTTGGCTCACAAGCATTCTCCATCGCTCGTCATTTTGCTTCGCTCTCTTTTCTTCGTTCCTTCTATTGTCTGTCAAGATCAATGAATGTACAAAATTTAAGTATTCAAACATCCATTCTCACGTTTGACTTATTCACTAGCACGATTCAAGTCGATAATAATATGCGTGAATAGTTAGGATGTATATTTCGACAGCAGTGATTCAGTAACAATCATTCACACTATCTGATTGGAGTCAGATTTCGGGCTACTAAAGATTTTCCATTGTCACATGAATGAATTTATAAAAACAACAGATAAATGTAGATCGTTAGATCAAATTATATGAATTATAGAAGCCAGTATATGTATATGTGTTGAGATTTTTTGTATCCCATTTGTGTTGGCAATGTTAGTGAGAGGATTGTATTGAAGCCACGTCAAATTTCTTTAATCACTTCATTTCTGTTAAGACAATTGAAACCCCATTTTATATGAAATGCTTTTCTATGAGTTATTTATGATTAAAAAAATTTTTTCTGAACGATTTCCATATTATATACTCATATATGGATGAAAAAACATTTAAAAAATTCCCTTAAGTTTCTACAATTATATATCCAGATTATTAATCCAAAAACTGGCCAGGTTTAAGATAAATACGTTTTAAAGAATTATAGCTCGCGAATTTAGGATTGTTTGCAGAAAATAAAACTGTTGGTGTTGAACTGACTGGTATCCAATCCTATATTGAATGAAACCGAGGTTGATAATTAGAACAAGTATGGATCAGAAAAAGTGAGACAAATAATGCTACAATTAAAGGCGGCAAAATTCTACTCGGTGGCTCTACCTAGCACTACTGACTAGTGAGGGTAACCTTGTTATCTAATTTTGGCGGTCGGTGAAGATCAAACTAATCTATCACTCTACTGTAAACCGAGTTAATTGGGTTCCGAATTCGGCGCTCATTAAAAATCTAGTGGGTTGACCGATGTGTGTGCTTATGTATGTGAATTACATGAGTCTTGACTTGTATGGTTTATGTATCTAGGTATACGCAAAGAGTACGCTCGTGGATTACTACAAGGAATGTAAGCTAAAAAATGTCTGTCATATGTCAAATAAAATCAGTGGCCTGATCCTTCATGTCGAAGACATAGTGCGAAGATACGGTAAGAAATATTACGGTTAGGTGACCAACAACATCCACTGAAAGAATACTCACACTTGTGTGTATGTTGTGAAGTGGATGTGTGGGTAAGGGTGATGGAATTCATTGTACTAGTGATATGCATGTAATGCGTAGGTGACAGTCAGTTGTAGCAAATACATTTTGAAGGAAGCGATAATCATTTACACTCCCAGGTTGGTGAATATACCTATTTATAAAATTCTCAGGTTATCCTTTTTCCTTAAGAGTGTAGAGGTAAATAAATCCCCGAAATAAATAGTTCTGTAGGTCGCTAAAAAATTGAAATTATGAGATAAATAATGATCAGAATAAATATGGTTAACATTGGAATGAGAGAGAGAATAATGTAATTACGAATCGGAAATTACGTACATATGTAAAATTAGTAGATAGGGGTGATTGCTAAATAAATTTTTTATTTATTCACATGTTACAATTTTAAATGGTGTACTTTGTGCTAAACCTGACCAATTTTATAGATGATTAATCTGGATATATAATTGTAGAATCTGATGAGATATTCCTCATTCATATAATTGATTTCTATAAGAATTTGATATTGATGCTGACCTCCTTAGTTTTACTGGGAACATCCTAGATGAAGGCACTCGATCACTCATCTGCATCAGATCACGAGTGGGTACCCGTGCTACATATCCCTTGCAACTAATAGCCAGCTTGGATCAAACTCTACTCGACATATCGGTAGCTTTTGAAATATATCTCCGAACTCCATTTCTGACTTCTGATTTGACTGGGTTGGTATGCTTCAATTATGAAGATGTTGGATATAAAGGCGCTGTCGAAATCCGAATACTCGTGGTATCTTTAAAAGTATCACTCTATTCATTAAGTTTTCTTCAATTACATTCATGGAATATATAATAATTATTTGATCATTTTTTGTACTATAGAGGTATAAAGCTAAGGAAAAATGTGTACTGGTTTTCTTCTTGTTTAAATTCCTGCTTACCGATTCATCAGCTCTTTTTGTGAATAAAACGTTCAAAACGCCATTCTATCTTCCTTTAGTAGCTGGACGTACTCAGTAAATTACATGAGAACCTCTAGTTGTAATATACTTTATTTATAGAGGATAAACCAGTCATCCATATATCAATATTAGGATTTAAACTTTCGAATAAGCTGTTTAAGTAGAAAATTTTATAGTTCAGTTAGAAAAAATGTCAACTAGTATGAGACTTAATTGTAAACCCATTGAAACTCCATTTATTTGTCCATCGATTTCACTGTTAAGACTTAAGTTCATGTTTATAGTGGATCTCAGTAATAAGTCTTTTGTGAGATTAATTGAAATTTAAGTTTCCAGTTCGTCTTCCCTACGTTGTGCATATATATGCTTTATAGTCTTCATGAGTTGAAAATTTATGACTGATAGTGTTATCTCTAAGGACATCGTGATTTGTCCTATGATATTTGCACCTGAATTTTATCAACCACTTGAAATAAATCCTGCATATTATGCTTTACAAACTTTTTGTGGAATGATTTCTATATGACTATTAACCATTTTGCTACACTATGATATGGGGATTTATACATCTAAAATTAGTCTCACTGGAATATCTGGTTTATGTGCCTTCGATAATTCATACAATCTTGGTAGATGAGTTCACACTGGTGAAATTATTTGTTAGTAATTGAGCTTCTTCAAATATCTAATTAGGTTATTCCGTATTTTATTATTCACATCCAGAATTGATGGTCTAATAATGATCAGTTCATGATCTCAGTTAAAACTCAACAATCTCCGCAGCCCTATACTGATATTTAATATTGTTTCCTGTTTTGTGAAAAGGATTTCTCGAATAGTTATTTCTTTTGAAGATTTTGTTTATGTTCGCTCGACCATACTTCCATCATTTTGTTATCACAGTATATACTCTTCTTAAAAGACTGACGACTATTGATTTATGTGCATTGATTGCGTGTGAGGACTTAAAATATTTGTTCTAGTGTATTGCTCTCTTGAAAACAATCACTATCAAAATAGTTAGTGTCTTTTAATCTGATTCGAAAATCTAGAAAATATACTTCACCACTGTTCGATTCTGAATTACATTTGTTACTAAGATGATTCACCGTTTCAGTTTCTCTGACAATAAGTGATGTATACCACTTTTTAATATCACGAGAGTATCATTAATATATCCTAGCCTTATTTTTAGTTTAAGTATCTTTAAAAGAATATTCTCTTCAAATTTATTCATAATTACATTTGCAACTATAGATGATACCGAAGAGACAATTGCAACTAATTTGTCCTCACTATAACTTTCAACTAAACTCTTTCACATAAGTAATTTAAACCCATTTCGTAATTATATTTTATATAACATAGGTTTTAGGTAGCTGATGAGAACCAACAAAACAAAACAAATTCATGCTTTAGTGTTAGAATTTTTGTTCTTACTCTTTTCAAACGAAACTATGTGTATGAAATCGCTACTTTATTGGTTTGTTAATAAAAGTTTCCTTTAAATGTAAAATAATTAACTTTTAAGATGGATTTTGAAGGTTTGATGATCTTGCTGGTGCTCAAATGACACTATTTTCATAAAGTTATGACTAATTCTAACAAACTAAAAATGATATCACGAAATTCGATAACAGAAATGTTTGTTTATAATGAGTTAATGTTATTGTTTATTATTATTTCATCTTTGTTAAATTTCTGATTAACTATTTTGGATTTAAAATAAAATGAATCCTTATGTTATCTGTGATTTTAGAGGGGTTTTAATGTAGTAAATATCTAAATAGAATGTATGTTGGTGAAATTCACGACTAGTTTTATTAAGACTGAAGGTTTTGTGTGTTTAATTGTCTGTAGAATCTTGAGCGTATATAAGATTTCAATTTTAGTTCAAATCAAAGGGAGTTCTTAATTTAAGGTTTTAATTGTTACAGAAGTCTATTTGTATTGAGTTTTATCTTGTTGAATTCTTATTTTCTTCAATAAGTATGGTTTATCGGATAAATGTTCAAATGCCTTCTTATCCTAATCAGCTCTATTCCTAATTACTATTACATTTCCTTTATCTGCTTTAGCTATTACAATGTCTGTCCTATTTTAAAGTTTTGAAGATCTTTTGTATTACTGTTTTGGTGATATTAGAGGACATATTCCTTTCTATCATTAGAATGTTTTTTTTCACTTGTTAATGTTATGCTCGTTAACTTGAATGTTACTACTGATTCGTCTTACTCGGAACGGAACAAATCAAGGATTCAGAGACTCGATAGGCTTGCTAGGTTTGAAGCTACCACGAGTTCACTTAATCGGCGAACGACAACAAGACTCGGTGACCAAAGACCAGTAAGCTAGCTATTGATGCGTCCCAGCCCCGCTAACTAAAGGGAGAAGTTCAAGCTTGGAATGGGAAGTATATTCTGCAAATCAGCCAGAAACGAGAGATAACAACAAACACAATTCAAAACATACATATACATTGCAAAACCGTCCTTGGGGAGAGTCACCAAATAGCATACTAAAAGACGCAACGGACCAATAGCATTTAAGATATTCCCCAGTGGGAAATACGACATGAAGGTGACAAGAGCGCCCTTGGCGCGAAAACAAAGAAATCCAAATTTTCTAAATAAATTACAAAATTAAGTCATTTCTCAAGTGAGTTCTGGGAATCTAACGTCCCCAACAGTTAATAATTCGACAGTAAGTTTAATAATCATTGTTTCCTTAACCATTATTACCTTTCGAGTTGTATGTTATATATTAAGATTTTTGATATCATTTGTTAAAGTTTGAACAAAACAAGAATGAAAATATTTACAGAATATAATAAATGGATTGTATTATAACTTATTACGTTTAATTGTTTCCATTCATTATTACAATATTCAATATGGAAAATGTATTACCAATAACGAATATGAACGAGGTTATATCATTAAACTAGTTTTAACATATTTTTGTAATTGTTTACAACGATATTTTTTTAGAGTATTCAATAGAATGTTACGCAATATCACAAAAATTGTTTTAAAAAGTTCAGAAAGAAAACAACAACAACAAAGGATCTGTATATTTAACTCACTAGATTGTGGTTAGAATTATTTTGGAGAAAAAGGATCAAAATGTTTAATTTACTTCTGTTAACAAAAGAGTTAGAATTAGAAGGGCTTTTGTGGAGATTGTATTAGTTTCAATACTTGAGATCATCAGTCAATCGAAGCTAGACCATCAGTGGAGTTCAACCTGGTCTGTTGTGAGATATTAACTCACTCAATTTCGTGGATTAGTTAAAGTTAGGCATTAACACCATTGGACGCCGGCTTAGTGGTCTAGTGTTTAAGTGCTCGCGCGCGAGACTGTTAAGTCCTGGGTTAGAATCCCGCGCGCTGCTGAGGGGTCCCATAATAGAACGAAACGGCTGTCCAGTACTTCCAGGTTTTCCATGGTGGTCTAGCTTCAACTGACTCATCAGCCCAACTATTGTAAACAGTTAGAAGTTAAATACCAACTCTTTGAAGTTAAGAATTACATTTTAAATAAATGGAATGTTATATCGATAATTGGAGATAGTTAAATGTATTAGGTTGTATGTAGATAACGAGAAACTAATAAAATACAATGAATTCATTATATTTTGCAAATATTCTCATTCTTCTTTTGTTCAAATTTGTGAAGGCAACCAAGTGTATAAAATTTGTCGAGGTATTCCTTGGATATTTTTGTTTTGTTAATTCTTCCAAACTATTGAATATGAACTTGATTTATACATACATAAATCATAACGAGTATTTTATTAAACTCTTTGTATTGATTATTCTAATCAGTAAAACTTGGAAATTCATAAATTTATTTTATAGATAAAATATGATTAATTAGAAACACTTCAGTTACAGAATAATCCAATTACAGCTCATATAACTTCTCAAAGATGATTAACACTAAACATTTGCTTTTTTGTGAAATACGTACTGATGAAGGCATCTTGCATGAAACTGAGAGATTTCCTGATCAACACACCAATTTAGTTCACTAACTAATACACTGAACACTACGAACATTTGCTAATAGATTGAAGTGTGTTAAGCAATTCAAGATTACTTCTAAGTATAGTAATTTTCGAATTGGTTTTTATAGATTTTACGATATGGATTTCTGGTATGGTATTTCTTAACAAAATATGAATATTTGTCGGCGGTAATATCTGATTGTCTAATCAAAGACTTTTCAAAACATGTAATATAATTCTGTAGTATGTAACACAATACTGTAATGTACAAAATTCCTGTCCTTAGCTTTCAACGAGGCTTTAGTTACAACACCTGGTAATCCTATACAGATGCTCAGATTGCAGTTGGTGGGACAGGGTCCGAACGTAACAACTAGCGGTTGAAAGTCTAATACATTAGGCAATAAGTTACTATCTCACTTTCAGCTCTTCATTAGATAAATTAAATCACATTAATTGGGACCGAATCTATTGGATATGTGTAATTGCTTACTTCAACTAAACTCAATAAGATAAAACAAACAGATGGATGGGTCGTTCATCTCTTTCTGATTCGACCCAGTTGGAGGAATATAAATGAATCATATAAATCAAAAAAAAATTTGCATCGTAAACAATTAACACTTGAGTAAACAAACTATTCTTGCTTATAATCGCAGAAAAGTATTGTGGGAATTAACCTTAAATGATAAATGCACAACTGAGTGAAATCAAAATGTGAATTTTCATCATATTGCTTTGAAAGTGACACTAGATACAATAGGAAAAATGACGTGCCTTAATGGTGATAATGACGTTAACAATCTTAGCTCGAAAACTGGGAAATTTAAAAAAGTGTAGCGGTGTTTAATACGAATTGATGAGACTTAGATAAGTCATAGTAGTTCCATTACTTTAAAATCAAGATCGTTTTATAACAACCTTCCTAAAATTATTAATACTGAATGGCCTAAATTACCGAAATTTTGATGTCAGTTACATAAAATCTATAGCAAGTGTCGATAAGACTAGAAAACCGAAGAATGAGAATGACATCTTCAACTGAAAGGTAATAACAATTTGATGTCACAGTCAAACTTATTAATGAACCAATACATCTTGACTATTTATTATAAAAAAAACATGACATTTTAAATGAGTGAACCAGAAGCCATAGATGAGTTATACAGACACCCATCCGTCAAAGAAAAATGTACACACAGCACAAACATAACAAAGCATAATGATGAATTGTTAGTATCAGAAAATAAAAAGAGGTAGTATACAAAGACATCGTAGAAGTAGTAGTATATAAGTAAGTATGAACTGCGTGACTAAAGCAAATAACAGCACCGATTTTATATGAACGAATACTGATTATTCAAAAATAGAAATGTGTATTTATAATATGTAATGATTCAAATTGAGCTTGAGAAAGATAGAGAAGAAAAGAACCATACATACATATAATGAGCTGAATTATTCTTCATTAAAAAGGAAAATAATATGGGAACAAAAGAAATAGGATGAAATCAACACTAGACAACAGTGAAAATAATAGATGATGATATAATATGAAAATAATTAGTACACAGCCATTATTACAGTAACAATATTAAATACATATATACAGACAGCCATATTTTAATGTTTATTGTATGTACAATATTCTTTTTTTTAATACAAAACAATTACATTCACATGCACATACACGAAGAAAAAATAAAGAAAACGTAATAGGATTTCAAAGAACAAAGAGGAGAGTTAAATGACAATTTCATTGACAAAGGAAGAAACTTCTCAAATAGGTCTATTTTTTTTATTCACTTTCTTTTGTTATCTGTTTGTTTGTTTATGTTGAAATGCACAAATGAAATAATAATCACAACTACCACCACCACCACAACAACAACAAGACACAATTTATCATCTTAATGAATAAAAAATATTAAGGATTATCAACAACAAGTAAATTACCACGTAATGAGAAGAAATGAAATAAGGGGAGTTATTGAGAGAGAGAAAAAACGGAATATTCTAGGATCGAAAAAGAAATGGCAACAAGTGAGTGAGTGGATGAACGAATAAAAATAAATCAATCGAATGAACTGAAAGACCAAGTATTAATTGAAAGCAAAAAAAACTGAACATTTTTAATCATGCATACATATATTACTAGCTATTTATCTATTAGTAGTATAATCAAAACGTTCCAATGTTGGTGGGTTGGGACTAGGAAGTGACTGAATTGTATTTACTAAATTATTATTATTCTGATCAGTGTTGTCGATGGGCATAGTTTTTGAATAAGAATTGGTTGATTTCCAATTTGACTTGATGTAATTACGGTTTAATAGAACATTATTATTATTATTATTATTATTATTATTATTATTATTATTATTGCTGTTTTGATTATTGTCCGTGTCGTGATACTCCTGCATCGATGATGATGCAGCCAAAGAATATTTAGATGTGACAGATGAAGAAGAAGCCAACGACAATGATGATGGTGATGAGGATGGTACTATAACTGGAGAATTCTAAATTTTAACAGAAAAAAAACTTACATTAAACAAGTAGACATGATTCAATCAAATTAAAACCATAAAATATAAATTGTTGAAGAAAAAAACAGATAACAAGAGTAATATGGATCATTGTTAAGAAGTCACTAGGTCTACGGTAACATCAAGCGTGAAACGTAGGTCAAAATCAATCTAATTTTTTTGTGTAGTAATAGATGGTGATATGGTATACGTAACTTAAGACAAAAGCAAAACATAAATGATTCGAGTTCTTACATTATCGATTCATACGCTTTTCTCCTTGTTAAAAACCTAAACAGAATATACTAGGTGAACCGAAAACATACAACTAAATCATACTGATTTTAGTGTCACCTGGAAAAGGGAGGGTAGAATTGAGGTTGTGATTGGATGTTTTCCTTGATCTTCAAGCTTTTCGCTTGTACCTACTACATCACGTAAGTTAGAAAAGTGGAAAGAGTATGATATATCAGAAACTCGGAACATATGCTAAAAAATGTGATCTTGAATGGCTCCAAACTACCTAGTATTACCATGGGAAGACATACAGTGAAAATTCGGAGCGACAAATATATGGAATAACGGCAAATTTCCATGTCATACAGAGGTAGATGCTACCCAAATTTTGTGTACAAAGTAACTTGTAGTTTACTTGAAACTGTTATATTGATCGTTTAACTGATAATTTGCTTTATTTTACTGATCTTATCTTTATTTACTTACAATAATACTTCCACTGTTTAGTTTAGTGATACTTTCAATTCTAATTAATGGTTATTACAATTGGTTCTATCATTTTAATATTATTTCGTTTTCTCATGACGTCTTCAACTATTATATCATTATTATTCTATCTATCTATCGTAATCTTAAAAATCTGCACATGCGATGAAGTCATATTCTCTCTTTCTTGCTGAATTCGCAAACATACAAGTTCATTGTATATAAATAGGGATATTAATTAAAATTATTTTTCATTGGTGAAATAAATGACTTTATCCATGTTACATACATAATTGCATTGTAAAACATATTCTTGTTTATATAAATCAGTGAGGTTGTGGGAGAATTAGAGCACCAAAAAAAAATGAAATAAATTTAATCAATCCCATAATATTTGTTATTTTTCGATTCATATAAGATTATTAATAGGGCTAATTCAATGAAATTGACTAATTTGTACTTATATTTTTCTATATAAATAGAAAAATCAGTTTCTTTTTTTCAAGATGGAAACATGTAGTGAATATTTAAAACAGAAATTTATTCAGACACGAAAACGACCTAAATCCTAATGATATTTTTGATCTGATGTAGAAAAAGTGAGAATGCATAGTATCTGTGAGTTGAATAGTGGTAAAAGGGATTGGATCATTAAATTTTCATTTGAATTAATTGTTCACGAATAAAATCATCGCTGTTGATTTTTACATAAGGATAACCAGAGGTAGGCCAAGTTTTCACTATGATTGGAAGTGCAGATAGATAGCAAAAGTTAAAAAAGGCTTTGGGATTAAGTTTGAACTAATAACTAGGTAGAATAATTACATAATTGAAACACACTTCTCATCTTCAATCTGACAAATTGGACAGGTGAGAATAAATGAATTATTATATATATGCATGTTAACAAAAACAAACAAGTTCGATTTGGACTTTGGTTAAATCAACAATAATTAAATTAATGAGTCGATCTAAGCTAGACCACAACTGAAAACCTGGAAGCACTGGACGGTCGTTTCTTCCTAGTAGAGAACTCCTCATCAGTGCTCACTTGCGATCCCACATATGGGACTAGAACCCAGAACCTTCAGTCTCGCGCGCGAACACTTAACCTCTAGACCACTGAGCCGGGATTCGTGTTAATGAGTACTGCTGAGGAGTCCAATATTAGGACGAAACGGCTGTTCAGTGATTCCAGGTTTTCAATAGTGGTATAGCTTAGATCGACTCATGAATTCAACTACAATCTTCCCAAACCCCCATCATAATAAAAATCAAGAATTATCAACTATTGAATCAAAAAGTTTGTATCAGCTTTATTGTAGTCAGTTGAATGTTGGATACACAAATTCGAAAATTACCTATTCATTGAGTTTTACTTGCCTATCTAATTATTTATTGATTTAAAACTGTTAGTTCACATCAAGAGTCCTACCAGATATTACTTGACTACGGAATTTTCAATATGGATTTGAACAGCTTAAGATTTCAATGTATCAATTCAAAATGATTACCGATGATTTCATGATAATGTAATAAAATAGAGACATACTAAGATTTTTCTAGATGATGGTATATTAGTAGTAATATTATGACTAGTATAATGATTGATTTCCATTGGATTCGACAAAGAGATTGAATTGTCCGATTTGGATTGACTAATATCTGGCCGGGATATAGACGATGTTGACGAAGATGATGATTGTATAAAAGGAGAAGGAAATGGTCCATCAACTGATGAAGAATTATTCTGTTTATTTTTTTCTGTTTCCTTCTTCGTGAACTCTGCTTCAGTTGATATAACATGAACGAAAAATGAATGACGTGATGCGACAGTTTTAACCTTTTTTGATTTGAAAAATAAACAACAGAATGAGTAAATGATGATTGGATTATAGAAGAATTTCAGTTATGAGTGCATTGGAATAGAAGTTGAGGTAGTGAAATATTTAACCCAAGAAAAGCGATTTGATTTTGCTAATTTCTACGATAAGGTCTGTTGACTTACTTGGCTCCTTTACTTTTACAGTTGTAGTAGTGAACTAATTAAACATTGAATTGTTATAAATTATCATTTCATATGTTGACAGAACAGCGACATGGTCTCTATCATAGAAAAGTATATCCCCATTTCTAATTGACTGATTTTTTTAATTGCCCATCATTTTTGGTATAATTATTGCTCAATTTCGTGCGACTTAAGTGTGCCGTTTGTCCCTCTAAGAAATAGCCCCCAAATGCCCTGGTACGGCCGAGAGTGGGGAGAGTCCGCTCTCCTTATCCAAATGCTCTCACATGGCCATGCGTATATAGCCTCTGCCAGGGAAGTCCTACTCACTGCCTTCTCGTGGCATTACTGTTGTTTACGAAAATGAGAGGACGAAAAGCGAATATTCGGCGCTTTAACCGGATCCCAAACCAATGGTGCACATGGGCTACAGTATCCTGCGGGAACAAATGGCGTATGAACCAATTGTTGGTCACCGGCTACCATGGGAATGCATCTCCTTACGATGCTCCACTGCATTGTGGATCAGACCTTCAGGTCGAAGGCTCGGGGAGTGGCCCTCTAAGAAAACCACCTGCTTCGGTTTGGGCACCTGGGCAGTATCACTGCCCTCACACATATCGAATGAGATTTGTGTGGCGCATATGTATTTGGTGCCTCCTTGTACCAATATCTATGTGTTAAAATAATAAATATAACAATAATAATAATAATTTGGTATAATTGACTTGTTTTCTGCTCAAGGATAAACATACCATCATAATTATTGGATTAGTTGTAACAAATTTTCCACGAAGAATTGTATTTGGCAAATGAACAATAAAGAAATATCCTTCTCATTCTAACATAATCTCTAACCAGTTAGATTTAATGAATTGAAGACAAAAAATCTATTCACTCTGGTCTTTATAACTAATATCTACAGTGTTGAAATAAATCTAATTAACAAGAAGCTAAGTTACTTTAATCGTTATTCAAACGACTGATTGAATTAAGCTTTCAGTAATAAGTTTTAACTACTAGTTAAAAAAAAGTAGAATTTGGAGAAGAAAATGCTTAGATCGAATAAGTTGGAAATACTAACTGATATGAATCACCGATGAAACTATAGTAACAATAAGCTCAGGAAAATAATCATTAATAGTTTAACAGTATAAAAAAATGATAAATATTGAGAAATATAATTTTGATCAAGTAAAATCTGGTTATCGGTCAGACGATCATACTCAATGTAGAACTTGCAAAATATGTATTTGGGCTCAATTCACCGAATCATATCAGAGCATTTAGAGTTCAGATTATTAACACAAATACAAGTCATAATGATATCATTAGTAGTAGTATGGTGTGTACTGCTTGTACGGACAAGTATAAGTATTATGTATTAGGAACTCAAAGTAGAACTCTTACGGACAAAAGAGGAAAACGAAGAGAAGAGAAAGGAAAACATAAACCAATCGAAATAACAACAGGAACAGAAGAACGATGGAGTTTGTAAGAGTCAAACCAAGGAAGATAGGCAAATAGTGTATTTAATGTATTGTTTTCAAATTTTACAAATCCAATGTGTGATTTTGGTTCACCTTACCCAGTCAGTCAGTAACAACGTTGAACTTCGTACGTACGCACATCAGTTCGAGTTGCCATACCACATTAGCACAGAGATGCAGTGGTCGATTCAAATCCCGTAGTGGTAGAGGTAGCAAGAGTATAAGCAGTAATCGGGAATATTAGGGTTTGGAGATGTTATTCAAGGAGTATAATCCAGTGAAATAAATTTGGAAAGAGAAAAAAGAAGGGACATGAAGAATTCGGGAGATTACAATTTGAGGGAACACAAAGATTGGATGCACCTGCGCCATTGCAAACGATTCTGAGCCATGTCATTCAAGGTCTCTAACCACAGGCTGCTATCGTCTCGTGGACCCTAACCAGGTAGTCTACACCTACCAACATGGCTCAGTCCACTTGTCAGTGACTTCATGGACTTGTGCCATGTTTTGGTCTGGCCGCCCCTAGCTCTCTTCCAATCTACTCCGATACAACAAAACACCGCACATCGAGGCAGTCGGTGGTTGGGCATACGTAACACATGTCCCAGCCATTTCAACTGATGAAGTTTCACTACTTCATCAATTGATTTGACATTCTTACCTAGTACCCGTTTCCTAACAACTGCATTACTTACTCGATGGTCCCAGAATATAAGAGCAATATTTCGAAGACACCTATGATCAAATACTAGTAACCTACGGACATCCTCTACTCTTACCGGCCATGTTTCACTGCCATAAAGTAAGACGGAACGAACTGTTGCATCCTTTGGTTGATAGACGGATATCTCGCCTACGCCATAAATGACGCAAGTTGGTAAAAGCTAATCGAGCCATCTGTATCCGTGCTGAGATTTCGTCACACACCAGACCACAAGGGCTGATGAGACTTCCAAGTCACCTTACCCATGTGTTTGTTGATTACAGTAGTAGTAATAGGACACGTTGGACATAGATAGTAGGATTTCGGAAGGGAGGATAAGATCGTGAAATAACGAGTATAAGATAAGTTTGTGTTTTATCGTGTTATCGGGGTTTAGTACAGTCCTACGATTTGGGGAAAAGCAATTGAGCTACTTTAATACGATAGGTACTCTCTGAATTCGACAAAGGAAATTTACAAACCACATCAACACCTGATGGCTGATAGAGAATGAAGACGGATTTAAGGGAGCTTGATATTTGAGGTAGGACAAGCAGCATAAAACGACCTTCAAACATACAGAAATTCGACGAACTAAGAGCAATAACAATCAATCAGAAGGCGAAAGTAATGTGGGAAATTGAATTAGAAGAAATGCGCGAGTTATCGTTTCTGAAGGGGTTTCAGTATTCTTAGTAAAATTTAATTATGCATGTGATCACCTTAGAAGCTCAAGACTAAAGAATTAGGGGAAGACAAAGAGTGAATTGATTTACGTTATTTTGACTCGCTTTGAGTCATATTGCCCAACATCGCCTCCAAACACTAGTTGCAATAACCATGTGGACCCGAATTAAGTAGTCTGAATCTACCTACACGGCTTAGTCCAACAGTCAATGATTTTGTGTACTGATGTCACGTTTTATTTTGGCCGTCCCTAACTTTTATCTAACACACTTTTATACCAGCACAATCAGGATTCATACATCATCAACATAAAATACTAATAATTTCATACTTTTTGTAGAAACCAATAAGGTAGTTTAAAGGTTTTTAGTTTTTCTATATCAGCTTTTGATGAATGTGAATTAATTTGTTGTGTAGCAATTTGATGTACTTGTTCAGCATGAACTAAATATGCTTTGACACCATGACTAATAATGAGACCAGTTTGAACAAGCCATGCTTTATCTTCATTATCACAAATATAACGAAATAATTCTGGATGTTTACTGTAAATACGACCACGTGCAGTACCCATACCAAGCCATCTAAAATATAACGGAGCAACAGAGTGAGAAAGGAAGAATATAAACGAATCAAGCAAGTAAATACACTGAAAAATAATTTCAGATGAAAAAATGTCCATTGGTAGTTTAAACGATATAAAGAAAGATCGATACATGTGACTTATTATTACTCCAGAAATATACAAAGGTAAGATCCAACACTTCATCTAAACATACATTGAGTATGGTATATCTATTGTTTTCGGTGGCCTATGCTCCATTGGGAGTAACAGGCGTAAGTAAATAAGTAATATCAATTGTTTAGTTTTAACTTGAGAAGTCTTAGGATTGAGAACTTATAGTTCCTTACAAGTTGGATTGAGCCAAATGTTATTCAAGAAATATACTTATGTTTGAAATTGAATTAGAATGATGATGAATTACGAACTCATTGAATTTACAACTGCTGACCAATGAGAATGACGATTCAGTGGCCTAATCTTATTATCATGAGATTTGAATATCTCGGATTCGATTCAAAGAGTATGAGGATGTGAATAGGTTTACTGACGATAGGTCACAAACTAAAGTGGATGAAACAACTAACAAATGGCAACTGGATTATCGTGACACAAGGATACTCCAAAAAGGCTTTAGTTCTTACAAAGAGAGACTAACAGCTGAAGCCCTATAAATATAGGTAAATCCAAATAGAATTAATAGGAGATATGGAATATAATTAGCTGTACGATGGCAACAAATAATTAATAAGTAAATCTGAACTCATTACATCTCGCTTAATTTAATCCACCACTTATCATGTGAACAAAAACGATTACTTTCAACTGTTCTAATACGTTAATTTATCTTAGTATATGATCAACGATCAGCTTGGTCAACATTTATCTTTATTTTATGCATGTTGTGACATGTTTAACTCATATCATCTATAAAATTTTTCTCACTTTAGAGAACTGTTATTTTAACGAACTTTTCTCATATGCACTACAGAAATTTTTTACTTTCAACGTTGTTAACATGATTGGTCTTAGTATTTTTATTTGATAATTTTGATGTTTGATTATATTTTCTTGAAAAAGCTTGGACCAGATTGACAAGTGAAACGGTGGATTTACTTAAATTTCAGTTGCTGAGATCTTTATAAATATCATTTTTTTCTCCTCACATTAACTCGGCGCCGAACTACTGTGAAATCATTCGTTCAAATTTAAACGAAAGTTCTTATGAATTATCTTGAGTTTTCAGCTGACATCAGTTCGAAACGAAAATTTCTAAAAAAAACTATCTCAATAAAATACAAAACGATGTTTATAAATTTGTGAAGTTACTGTTTAAATTTTCTAGTTCTAATGTATTATTTTCGAGAATTTGAACACTTTTTGAAATAAATTCAACATATCGAAATCTAATATTCGTTTAGACACAACTTGAAAGAAATTTTAAGGCGGATTTACGAAACATTGGCTGATATTCTTTTTAACTGTTAGTAAATTATGTAAATCATTTCCACATTACGTCTTTAGTGCTGTTAGTAAAGATTAGCTACTTACCACCTTCAACTAAGACATTTTTGTCCTCAACCTTAAACTGTGAAATAAGAAAAAGGAATATCTTTCAACTTAGGCAGGTTTTAAATCCGGTTAGTATCGGTAAATCTGGAGACAACAAGTATAAATTTAGACTGACTTATCAGATGTTCTAAATGTGAGGCCTAGTGATAACTAAGTGGTCAACCAAACTCAATTAGATGGGGTGGGGTTCGAACCTGAGACAAAATAGTAGATGATAGTCAAATGGTTTAATCAATGAGCCACCACTCTATGGTTAACTATAGAAAACCTGGCTTTAGCTTTTAGTTCTAGTCTGTTTGTCTCTATCCGGATGATAGTGAAAAAAGCCAATGACCTTGTAAGACACAATTTGTGATATCCACCGACTTGTCAGAAAATATTTACAACCATGAACTGAGAAGATAGAAAAAGACAAAGAACTTACGTATTTGCTGATGAGCCTAGCGCAAAATGCGTATTTTGATCAAATGTGAACTTTGTTACATTGCTATTTTTGGTGGTAAAATTATTCACAGTGCTTTTTATTGCAGTGCACTTTCTTCTAGATACGCGTGACGATGTATTTTTACGTGCATTACTATAGTTGTTGTGGATGTTTTGATCAGAATTATGCAGGAGATCATTACTGATATTGTTGCTAGCATGAATTACAGATGAAGTAACGGACCGACTAGTATGGTGATTGAAAAAATAAAGAAAATTACGAAGTAATTATGAGAATGGTCCAAAATGAAATTCGCAAATAATTCAGTCAGAAAATGAAGGAAGGAGAAGATAAACAAAAAAAGACGATAACTTCCCAGCAAACTGATAGGTTTCTTTTCAGGTAAAATGAGTGATATCCTTGTTACCTATCACTGCTACTAATACTACTTTAAGCACCCTTAAGTAATATGAACGCAATAAAATTCAAAGTCGTATAGATAAATCGTGATGCGTCAAGAGAACTAAAATTTGACATGATTGTGAAGCGATAAGTAGAGGGAATCAGGGAGTACAGAGTCAATATATCTTAAGCGTCTATTGATCTAGTTATTAATGTAAGAAGAGTTTTATAACGTTTCAGTAGGTATCTATAAAGACTTTGTTAGTCCGACATTATTCATAATATACAGATGTATGTAGATATGATTGGTTCAGCTAATTAAGGGCTTCAATCTCAATAAATTACTGTCTCATTTATTTCAGTAAGACAGAATCACTAATCGAAAGACAATACGCTTTAGTAATTAATGTCCATAAGTACGACATGTACTTAGCACATTGTAAATGCAAAGTAATGCTCTAAGAATGCTAGAAGTATGTGCCAGTAATCAAGCTTTATGATAAAGATCTGAAAATAGTCAACAAATTTGTGTATCTGGGTAGTTGTTTGAGTCCTGAAGGTCTAAAAGAAGAGATCTGTCGTAGCTGTGAGAAATTTCGGTACTTCAGCAGGAAATTCATGAAACGGATGGCACAAGTAAGAACATGAATACAGTAGATGAGGATTTATTTAAAACCGAAAATTAAAATTACATCTAAGTACGTTATTTTTAAATGATTCATTTGCAATCAGATTTGAATAAACTGAACCAAGTAGTATTGAACATCAATTATTCAATGCCTTGCAATGTGAACAGACATTTACAGTACCATAAAAGTAAACGGTTATGAGCAACAAATATACCTAATTTGGTAAATTATATGGTTATGCTTTCATAAAATGTGATTACATATTAAAAATGATTAAAAAAATCAATACTGCATGTCACTCGTACTCCAATCAATCAAGTCCTATTCATTACATCACAACCAACCTACGTATAGTAAAATTCCGAGCGAAAAATAACAATCTGGACTATTTGGATGCTAGTCTGTCTGGAAAAGATTGGGATTACAATGCGTCAGTGAGAGCACTGTATGATTGCGAAAACTGGTTTCTCCAACTTCAGAATGTACGGCAACTCTGTGTGTTCGAACGACTGCTGACATTCAATGGCAACCCAAGCTAGTAATGCTGATGTTCGTCCATATGTGTTCGGATGTTACCATCTTGAAACACTGGCTTGGATACGTTATACGAAAGTCTTCTCAGCCGCTTCCTCACAGTGCACTGAGTTAAAAAATCTGTGATATGAAAAAAGTTGTGTAGAACTGGCATCTACCAATCCATTACGACATGGTTGTGGTCCTAACGATGGTGCAACACATTGGCTAGATAAATTATTAGGCATGGGTCATAACAGAAGGCAGTGACGATTCCGTTGTAGTTTTCCTTATTCTTTATAAAAACTTACTTCTCAATAATGTTATATAGTTAGCTACGTAGTGCATACTTTCTTGACGTTCAGTTGTGCTGGAATGTATGTGTATTGGATACAATTAAAAGTAATAGGCATGAGTCAATGTTATGTGCATAGACCCAAATGAATTTTCTCTAACTAATATATAATGATTTTGAAGCAAGAGGCGAATTAAAGCAGCTTTATTTCTCCGACAGGTGTAACAATAATCTTTTATGAGGATGTGTGTATATAACACATGTTGAATGTAAATGCTTGCAAACATCAAAATGAAACAATGAGTAATCCACACACATCCAATGGAAAAAAAACTCACTTGGACAGTGTGTTGATAAATTGTCGATAATCATTTTCAACCTGAAAACCAACAATCGAAGAAAATAGATTCAAGTAAACACTAAAATAATATTAATAATACGCAATATTACAGTTAAGAGCTTGGTTTGCCCAGCTAAGTAGTATGTATCAGTAGATGTCACACAAGCATCATCATAGTTCAAAGTCTATGATATAAACCTGTATATTTGATGAAAGAATTACTTTGTTCAGAAAGTCGATTGTAATAGATAATTAATGCTCTTGAACAGCATAAAATGACAGTTTAATATATGTTACAGGATTCCCTGTATAGCCTCATTTTACGCATGTTATACCAATGTGGTCAGCATTTTAGTGCTAACGAATTCCTTAAATTTCATACGATTCGAAAAAACAGAATAATGATCTGATTTCATTTGCAATTTTAATGCAGCTAAAACAGATAAACAATGTTGCCTATAAATAAGTGTACATATATTTGTGAGTTTGATCATTGTTATGGAAACCAATAGACGACCAAACTATCCTCAGAAGTTATTATTACTTTTTTTTGTATACGAAACTACCATTTCAGCAAACAAATATAAAATTGGAAGTTAGAAGGTGAAGTAATAGATTCCATATATATATATAAACAACACCGAAAGATCTAGAGAAAAGTGAGCGGAAAAAAAGACACTTAAAACAAATCCTATAGAGAGAAGGCAGTGAGAAACTAAACAAATCAACAGAACTGCAACCCTTATTAAAGAAGGATTAGTTTATGAAACTAAAATAAATATGTTATGAGTCATAACAACTGAAGGATACAATTAATACAAAGATGGTTATAGTGCGACTCAATAAATTTGAACGTGTCGTAAGACACAAAGACAATTTAATGATAATATAAATATATGAATTGATAAAAACTGGTTTATTTATAAGAGAACTTTTGTATTTCAAGAGGATGCAATAATATAAAGAAACCTCATTAGGGAAATAATATTCACACAAATTTGGAAAATTGTTTATTTAAAAGGCGATTGAATTCAAACATCCACTCGTAATTAAACATAGTAGGTTTTAAGATGTATTTAAAGTTTCATATGATGATGATATTGATGCAATGAAAGAACAGTAGGTCGACCATAAGCAATGTAGAACTTGCAAAATATGTACATGGGTTCGATTCGCCAAACCATACCAGCACATCCAGAGATCAAATTAATGAAATAAATAAAAGAGTAATAGAAGTCGAAAATAATAATAATGATAGAACACAATGGACATAGACAATATGATTTTGTAAGAGAATGAGATCGTTAAATAAAGTGAATATGGTGAATTTGGTTATTTATTCTCTGAAGAAGTGACTTACACTAAGTCACGAAACGTCAGAAAATCCAATTTTCTACTCATTGGGATATTACAAATATATTATTTTTATTTAAAAGTGAATATAAATTTAAAACTCAAGATTTGACGGAAAGAGTCAATTGATTTACATCATTTCGAGCCACATCACCCAACATCTCCAATCACTATTTACGAGAGTCACATCGACCCGAATTAAGTTGTCCGAATCTACCTACACGGTTTAGTTCAATAGTTATTGACTTCGTCGACAAATGTCATGTTTTGTTTAGTCGGTCACTAATCTTTAGTCAACTTACTCCTACAGTAGTCAGCATTGCTCATCGGGGTAGGCGATGGTTGGGCATACGTAAGATATGTCCCATCCACCTCAGTCTATAAGGAATCGAAACATTGTATCCTGAGTTGTCATCTTTACCTAGTACCCTGCGTCTAACCGCAGGATCGTCTACTACATGGTCTGAACATATGCCAGCAATATTAATAAGGCATCAATATATAACTACTAGTAAACTATATTGTATTCTTAAAGATCACGTTTCACAGCCAGAACAGTTTGAACTTCTACGTAGTATACTCGTCCTATGATTGACAGATGGACGACAATCAAGCTTTCTGAATTCGTGATAAGATTTTGTAAGACATCACGTCAACCCACCAGGACCTATGAAATCTCTGAAATAAGGGTAGTAATCGATGCAATGAACCACTTTATTCCCTATAATTTAGATGAGTAGAAAACATTTATCTGATCATATTCACATTCTTAATAAGAAATAGTGGGAATAAAAATATATTCCATTTAACCAATATCAAACATCTGAAAACTGCTGTTGTTTACCTATTCATGACACACTGCAATGATAAACTTACTAGTGAATTCTTCTCATCTGTTAAATTTTCATTATGTTTATCGTATTGAGTGTTGTTACTAATATTAGTAACTTTGGATTTGGATTTTTTTCCACGTGTTCTATCCCACCATGGAGTTTTACGACCTCTTGATGATTTTGATTTTAGTCTATGAATTGGAGCATTGGAATTATTTTTTATAGTTGATGATAAACCAGGTGAATAATGAAGTCCATAAGTTGATGATCTATTGATCTGTGTATTATTACTTTGTCCTGATGACTTGATATTTGATGAATCAATTAATGTCCCTTCACTATCTGAACTAAATGGATCACGGAAAAATCCAACCGTAGAGCTTGATGAAGCTGATGACGGAGAATGAGAAGACAATGGTAAACTGGTACATTTTTCTTGTAAATCATTAATATCACAGTCTGCGGCGGTGAATGATTCAGTATTAATTAAAAGATTATTACTATTGTCAGACGTAGATGTATCATAGGAAACCGGGGAAATTTTCAAACGATTGGATGAATGTAATCTTTTACGTACATTTCTAAGTGATGAATTATTAGAGATATTTCTTAAACTATAATTTGATTGATTATCTCCGGCGACTGAATTATGTAGAGGTGAATATACAGTTTGAAAGGTTTTATCAACAGTTGGATTTGCAATATCATTAGTAGACAGAAAAGATTTATCGAAACTGATCGGATCTGAGCTAGGTATCGGTGAAAGTTGAGGAGAGTTATTAAAAGACAAAGATGACTCTAATGAATCAGGAGTTGGAATACGTGAATGTAGTTTCGAATCTACCCATTTCGAAGGAAAAGCACTACATGAATTTATTTTTGACCGCATAATCAAATCTGATTTCTGAATACTTTGCTTTTCGGGTTTGTTATCCCCAGTTTTTGGAGAAGGATTACTTCTAGTTCCCTGGTGATTGATAAAATCCCTCTGAGGACGTTCAGGGAAATAACGTACGACGGCCTACGAATTAATGGACACAAATATGTTAAGTAGTCAAAATGTTCATCTCAGTAATATGTATTATCATAAATATATAATCTAACTATATTCCAAGTAAGAAAAAAACATTTAAAGGGCTTTTTAAATATCGGCTGGTTGAGACGAAGACTTGTACTGAATGTACCGACAAGTGATAAAAGAATTGTTGGTTAGATTCCTAAGCCAAATGACGCTTCTTCAACTTCAATCATCAGCAACAAAAGTGATAAAAGACGTTTTTGAGAGATATGAAATGGAAAATTAATGATTTACACCTAACTAACAAAGATTCTATCGACTGAATCAAAGGGATATGTAGTCCATCACAGCAATTCAACTTTAAAGTAAATAATATCAGAAAACGGTAAACTAAAAGGTTTTACATTGGAAAGATGAAATATACATTCGAAGATTATTGAAGTGATCAAGTACTCGAACCCACGCATTTTAAACGAACACATTAAATTATTATACTGCGGATAGAAATTAAAGTTGATAAACATCTTGGAATTTACTGTTAGTCGAATGACATATGAAAACCTTAGTCCTATAGTTATTTTTGCTCTGAATAAACGTATTGGAGGACTGTCGTTTAATGTTTGTGAAATGGAAAAATGTAACCACATGTAAGTGGGCAGTATATTTAAATAAAGATGTACATGTATAAGAGGCTCTTGAAAGAGTTTAAATGGCACGTTTTACAGCATAAAAATCGAACTACTTAATAGTAGTGAATCGTATAACGCAATCTGAAAGAATGTGGGCAGGTATGACATTACGTCTAACAAAAAATGAATTTAAAGGAAATAGGTAAAAAAAACATGGTATTTTGAAAAGATTTATGTACCTTACAGAACTATTTCGAATGAATTTCATTCATGTAAGATAGACAATTATTGAAAATGTCAGTACAGGGGTTGTGGAAATTGTTAAGTTTTGATTGAGATCATGAACTGATTGTTGTTAAACCACCATTGAAAACCTGGAAGCACTGGATGCCGGCTCAGTGGTCCAGTAGGCTAAACGTTTGCACGCAAGACGGAAGGTCCTAGGTTCGAATCCCGCGAGCGGGACTGCGGATGCGCACTGCTGAGGAGTCCCACAATAGGACGGAACGGCCGTCCAGTGCTTACAGGTTTTCAATGGTGGTCTAACATCAATCGGTTGATGATCTCAATCAAAATTATTGAAAATCTGGAAACATTGGAAAACTATTTCGTCCCGGTATGGGACACATCGAAAGTGGACAACAACGACCCCGCTATACTGCGACGAAACTAATTATCTCGATAAACCCCGTGCTGAATGGATATAAATCATCATAACGAACTTAATCAGTTAGCGCAAAAAGAAATATGAATAAATGACTTTCTTAGTTCCAAGATATTGATTCAGTTGTTTGTAGTAGTAATATAAAACTGATGACCTGAAATCCTAGTATATAAGCTAATAAATATTAGTTAGCAGAATACAAAGTTTAACAGAGAACTAATTAGAAGGCTTGTAGAACAGAAACGGCAGTTATTTAAGAGTTATTATATAGAAACCAAGATAAAATTAAAGATGAATCTAAGTATAAAAAACAATATATGAAAAATTAGACGATATTCAATATACCATATATAAACAATTATTACATACATCTATAAAAATTATGGTTAGTTTCAAATCATATTACTTATACACTACAACTTAGTCAGTTATACACAATGTGGAAACTGACATGAATATTGTATCGGTTCAGTTTGTTACATTTTACAGTAGTAAAATGTGTCGGGAATTGCTCAAGATGAAAATTAAAAATGGTTTAAAATAACATCCATGAAAATAGAATTTGAACATAAGAAATCTAGTTCAAAGAGAATAATTGAGGCAGAAAATATGCTTCCATACTAGAAAGCATCGGGCATATTCTTCAATTAATCATTTTCATCATTCCAAAAAAAATAACTGAACACGGAGTAAATATATTTTTCTGCATAGATTTGTAATGATTTTAATATAACTGCAATTGTTAAGCAACAGTAAATTCTAAAAAGCTTAGTAACTAATTTTACATTATTCTAGTTATATGCAGTAATGAAAATCTTTGACATAACACAACTATTTGATTTCACAATTCCAATTCTTCATTACAAATGGAATTTCCGATAATGAATTATGGAACTAAGGTATTTTCCTATTTAACTTAAACGTATGACTTGTAGACGTTAGAATTCTGAACCAAAGGACAAAAGAAAAACCGAACATCATCTACAAAATAAATTGTTTCAATCGCGAAAAAGACTACATCTGATAAAGTGGACGCCCCCTTCATCTTCGCCTGCACGAACATCAGTTAGCGGTTAAAGGCCATGACATATCCTAGTTTATAGCAATGCATGTAGATACACATCCGACTGGGAAAATGTTGGGACCTTGGGTAAAGGGAATCCTAAAAACATCAGAGAATTTTAAGGAGCTTGGAATTCAAGTCAGTCAGCTATCAATGAACACATTGAAAGTAATCCAATCCATCAACCAATCAGAAAAATCATAGAGAAATATAAAACCGAAAATCAAACCAGTGGGAGATACAATCGAAATAAACAAGTAAGCAGTGACATGTTTCAGATCCCTAGTCAACAACTTCATGGATTGATATTACGTTTTAGTCTGGCCACTCGTTGACTCTCTTTTGATCTATATTTATGTCACTTAGTGTTGTGGATTGGAGTAGGTGATGGGTAGAGACACGTCTTAACCACCGCAGTCAATGAAATTTCATAGTCTCTCATCGTGTCACTAGGTACTTTACACCTAACCTTTATACAACACACTTGGTAGTTGTACCATAACTATGCAACGATCGGAGGAAACTTATGACCAAATAACTGCACCTACTTATGTCTTCTTTTATAGGGTGTTTTCCACAAAACACAGTAGACTATTGTATAATATACACAGCCATGTTGTTGAGAGAAAACCATCTCAGTTATGCCACAGGTAAAGCAAGTTATCGGAGGCCAGGCAGATCCTTATATTAATGTTGAGATATTGTTAGCATTATAAAGCTCAAATTTTCTAATTACTATTGTATATTTTACTTCATTATACACTTTCTTTCAACTTCAATCAACATCACTACTTGATCAGATTAAAATAGTTAAAATATTAGAGCCAATGTCGAATGAAATACCAACATACTTTTATTCATCTCATTGTCTTACTCAGTTGTCTATCACTGAAGCATAAACGTAGAGAAAACTTATGACTGAATAAATTCATGGCAAATTGTGTATTTATACCTACAACACAAAGTTATTGGTAAAACATTCCGTTTGATATCACACTTGGATAGTAATAATTGAAAAAAAAAATCACAAGAGTAAAATCATTTCTTTTCAGTTATCAACAGACTGTAGGTGTTGAAAAAAAAAGACAAGTAATTCATAGTGTTGAATTATTAGAAGCAAATTGTTTCACACAAACACATTCGAATAAAAAATACTATTTGTTGAAGCTCGATGGAAACTTTATTATCACGTACAAAACGGATCAATATTTAAATATGACTCCCACACAATAATACTATAATTATCAGGTTTACTGTAGTCGACATTTTAAAAAGAAACAATAAAAACAAACATCAAACCTGTTTGAATACACTAAAGATAAGTTCAGTTTTATATGTTTTAATATAATTAGCTAATTTTAACTCGTTGAATGTTACTAATACTTCATAACAATTCAATATGCAGTGATATCGTGGAATATGATCGTTGACAATGAGGTATAAGTGGCTGTTCATATTGAATGATAATGAACAGAAAATGGTATTTCCATAGAAAAGATTGTTTTTTAGCAGTAAAGGTGCTAGATAACATAGCTCAAAATCAATCATAATAATACACATAAACTAATCTTTCATTGTTTTCAAAAAAATCGTGGGTATACTAGATATTCATGTCACGTAGAACTTTATACTGATATGGATGTGTAAGTTTAAGTAGTCATGGATCACAACATCAACACATTCAAAGAAATAAAAAAAGTAATCCAGGGAAGCAGAACGAATGAAATCGTGAAATAAAGTTTATGAAATAATATTTCAGTTCAAAATATAGGGAGATAAAAAACATGAACTATACTATCCGATAGAGTGGAATTCAAACCTGTGGCCTAGTTACTGAAATTTGACTTGAAGAAACAATATTGATCAAATTAGAGATATGAGATTAAGCACAAGGCTTTTTCCAAATAGGAAGTGTACAAAACTAATAGATAACGTACTATAGACTATAATAATTAATGTGATAGGCATTATGGGTGAAATCACTTGAATATTATGCAATCTACTATGTTGGTGTACATATATGTATGTGATTTTGTTTGATATAAATTAATAAAAGTTGAGTGCTTTAATCACCGGTTCAATATTACAATGAACAATTAAATTATTACTTCAACTAGCTGATATGTTCTGTTGTTATTGACGTGTATATAGATACTTCGTAATTAACAGGCTTCGTTCCATTCTCTACTATGTATCCTTAGACTAAGCACTGACTACATTGATAATGACAGCCATTTTTGTCGACCACTTAATGTTGAACAAAAACTCAATGGATTATAGATAATTGAATACTGAAGCAGAATTCTGATGATTACATAACACATATCGATAAATATGTAAATGACTGTAGTATAATTGTAATCAATTATCTAATTGTACAATATGAATCTAGTTAACATGCAATGTCTCGACATTTATAAGAATGGTTGATAATACTAGTGTAACACACACATGACCATCATATAATTTTGAACAAAAAACACTGATATAAAACGAAATTCAACAACAAATCAATACTAAGTCATGACAGTAGTAATGAAATTGGGCGGAAAAACAAACTATAATTGTTTTGTGTGATGTTTTGAAACGAAATTTCATTTTATAAACCAGCTCATTATGATAATAGCTAATAACAACTGTAACAATA